TTAACAAGCAATTTGTTTCGGCCCGATGCTAATTAGGCGAGCCCCATCAAAGGCATCAGAAGACAAAAGTCGTCGCCTGGCGATGCATCGAAGCGAGCTCGAATTTCACCTCTCGCTTAACCCTTGACAAGTTGAACGCCTTCAGACACATTTCCATTTTCACACTCAACGTGCCGAAAACAATTAAGCCAAAAAGGAAGGTTAAAAAGGACTCAGCCGAAAAAAAGTACCCCGATAGCTTTGTCTGAAAGAATCCTTTCAACTTTTACTGGCGGGGTGAGGAAGGTGCTGAAAACGCTGGATGGAGAAACATAAAACGCACCAAATTATTGGTGTGTATCCACCGATAAGGTGTTGAGAAATCGGTATCCCTGTCCCACTGTCCAAGAATAAGGAGCACGCCCAACTTGCAGCGGAAAACTTGCAAACTGCACGCACCACAAGAGTCAGCTAACTATAACAACTTGCATTGCATGCCTCTTTGAGTCGAACAACAGCCATAACAACTAGAACAGCATTAGTGGTTGTATGGCTATGGTAAGCAATAATACACTGGAGAAAAAGTCTATTAAATAAATAACATATTTTGGATTAAGACGGCAGCTAAGTAGAAGTTAAGGAAAGACTTTCTTTTTAAATATTTACGCCCCATTTCAGCCCTATTCATATTAAGAGTCATTTAGATTCATTTATCAAAGTAAATTTATTTTATGTGTACGGATGGAATCGTTGTCATGGTCACGTTCAACATCTGCTGCAGCTTCCGGCTGCCGCTCCGCACGAACGGACGATGAATGGCGGCCATGTTCCGAACTCCATGCTCCACACCGCAACCATTGTCAAACAAGCCAGAAAAATGGCGGCTTTTTGCTGCATCTCCTCCAGCCACTTTAACTCCTCCAGTGCCACGAGCACTGCTGATGCTGTGGTAATCCACTGATCATCTTCTGCGGCCAGCTGGTTGTGTCAGCCTGACTAATAATATGGCCAGAAGAGCTAATATTTTTCCTAAAGAGTGGTTTCACAATAGTCTTAAAAAGACCAAGAATAAATTATAAAAGAAATAGTTTAAACTTTAAAGGAAACAACATAGAAATGTCACTTTGAAGCACCTTAATTGGCCTTTCTCTTCCTCAAGATTAAATAAAAACAATATTCTACTTTTCTTCTGTGAGCTGAAATTATAAAACCATTATAAAAACATATTCAGGAAATGCTGGAAATGAAAACGCATTAAAATTTAGAGCCTTAAGCGCGTGTGGCAATAAAAGCCAAATGGCGAACGAATAGAAAAAACAAAAGAAGCAATATGGTTAAGAGAGAGTAAGAGAAAACGGACAAAAAGGATATTTAAATTTCCTTTTTCAGGAGTCTAGGAGTCTGGTAGAAAGGCTTTAAGTTTCACTTCTAATCTTTAATACAAAATTAAAGCAAGTAGCATTTAAAAACTTGTTAATTTCGAGCCATAATTGTTAATTGCCCAAAGGAATGTGTCATATTCTTAGCTATGAGAATTTTGACTGCTTACCTCCTGCGGAAGACAGGACACTAACAGCCCAGAATCATTTTCAATTAGCGCCCGGCTTGGAGCATTTACGAGATTTGTCCAATATATAATTTGAGGAAAACTTGTTTTATGGCTTGGTGGCTTTTTGTGTCCGCAAATAAACATTTGCGTAATGCTTACAGTTTGTCCCATTGCCTGTTATGCAAAAGTTGTAAACGACAACGACGACCTAGCTTCTGAAAATCCTGTTTTATGCCCGACACCCCCGCGCATCGTTTTTGGCAAAAAGTTGCCGCAGTAATAAAGGAGATTACCTTGCACATAACATGTGAGTAGCCGGAGTCGAGAAGGTGTGGGAGGAGTTTGGTCCGGCAGTGAAATGATTTCTAGCCCGGCCACAAAAGCCAAAGGAGCCTTTGAGGCGGTCGGACATGGATATCCGGGCCACTGCAGCCTCCGAAAACCATAGAAAGTTGGGCAGTTAAGACAGTGTCTGCAGAACGAACGCATCCTAGTGTGCCGAAAAATTGTAAGAAACTTTTTCATTTCATTTTCGCCAGGACTGGGCATTAACCACAATGGGGGATCAGACGAGCTTTGATTTCAATTGTTAAACATAATAATGAAAATTACACAATAAACTTAATCACAAAACGAGTTTCATATTTATACCCTTGCAGAGGGTATTATAATTTTGGTCAAAAGTGTGCAACGCAGTGAAGGAGACATCTCCGACCCTATAAAGTTATATATTCTTGATCAGGATCACCTCCTGATTTGATATGAGCATGTCCGTCTGTCCGTCTGTCTGTCCGTCTGTCTGTCTGTTTCTACGCGAACTAGTCTCTCAGTTTTAAAGCTATCGTCTTGAAACTTTGCCACACCCTTCTTTCTTTGCACGCAGTATATAAGTCGGAACGGCCCGGATCGGCCGACTATATCCTATAGCTGCCATATAACTGATTGATCGGAAATGGTATAACTTCGGTGTTTTTAGAGTTAGACAGTTCTAATTTGACACAAGAGCTATTTTTGGCAAAATATTTCGACATGCCGAAATTTCATTAGGATCGGCCGACTATATCCTAAAGATGCCATATAACTAAACGATCGGAAATGGTTTTTGGTAGAAATACCACTTGTTTTAAATTTTGTATTATAATAAATTGGGTTATATTATCATATTCTCATAAGGATCGGCCAACTATATCCGATGTTTGCGATATATATCCGGTTTTAACTGCAAGGGTATATCAACTTCGGCTCCGCCCGAAGTTAGCTTTCCTTTCTTGTTTTATGAAAAAGTTACGATGAAACAAAGGGATGCTCTTATGGTTTTCCACTTATGGTTTTATGGTTTAGTATAATATATAATATTTCTAGCTAATATTAGACGTGAAGGTGCTGATAATAAAAGGTTCTAAAACTAATTCGCAGCTAAATGTAAAAATTGTAATCTGCACCTTTTTTGGTTTCAGCTCCTGTCATTTAATTTGGAAGCAAAAACAAACAGAAATGGAGCAGCTAAGCCTGGGATTGAAAATATTCTTAGCCAAGACTTTTGCTTAGTTTTTAATTGCAATTAAAAAGTTGTGTGCTTGGGAGGGGACCCAGGATGCACCCAGAGGGAGTTGCAGGGATAATATTTGCTGGTGCCCTGAGAAGTGACCGGTTCCGATATTGACCACTTTTGTCCCTCCCCAAAGTCCCAGTCATAATGGCAAAAACCAAAACCTACAGTAGATGTTGCATCTGAAAAGGACGTGGGGAAAATCCCTCTGTGGCTCGGAGTGAACCGCAAAATGGCCATGCAACCAATTTTCTAGCATAAAACATGGAAACTTCTTGCCCCACATCCTTGGCCGAGAGTCTGGCCTTCTCACACTACAACTACGACAGAATTCTCTGTGCAGACTTAATGATTTTTGGCTTAAAGTTTTACCAGTTAGCAGTATTTTTGCAAGTAGTTAACATTTTATGAGACAAACCAGCCCGCTCCACCTTCTCGGACTATATACCCTGGGGGCTTTGTTTTATGCATTTTCCAGCTAGCCAACGAAGAACTCTTTCTCTCTCTTTCCATCTCCCTTCCATCTCCCTTTCTCAGCGCTTTTCCTATCTTATGGGGAAAATCAACGACTGAGCTAGACCGAGGCCAAGACGATGACGACACACAAAAACGAAACGAAAACTTGATAAAAACTTTTATCATAACAATTTGTGTTGTTTTGCTTAGCTTCCTTCCTCGGCAGCGTCTCCGACTTCAGCTCCTGTTGGTCAAATAAGAACAATGGCCCTATGTTTATATACAAACGCACGCAAGGTTATATTGTCTATGTGTGTGCTGGTCCATCGGTGAGTTTAATGAGAAAAGTGTAAGTGCAACTTGCCATGGCTTACAGCCTGGAGCTGAAGCAAATAAAGCCCCCAAATTGAAGTTTAAGCTAAGAAAAATGCAGAAAAATTCTGAAGCTAAGCTGGAACAAAACACTCGAACACAAGTTTGCTTTAGAAAGATAACAAATTCCAAAATTTAAGCTTAATCCGAGACTCTTATGACCCCTTGGAATGCCCCCTATTTTTCTCTTCCTATTTCTGTTCGATATTTGAAAGGAATATCTTAAAGATTTGTAGGTCGAATTTGCATTTAAGCTTTGCGACTAACTTTCCGATAAATTTTTCTCCACTTTTTTCCAAGGAACCTGTTTCAAAATTATGAATCCCCATGAATGGCCACTAAATTATGGATCCCCATATAGAGTCACTTTCCATGCCTATATCTTTATCAATTTTTATCTGATCCTTGAGGGGGATGCCTTAATCGATTTGTGGGTCGATTCTCTATCAATCTGCATCAAAATCTGGCAACAAAATTTTCGATCAAGTTTTTTCCAGTTTTTGCCAAGGAACCCCTTTCAAAATGATGGATCCCCATATATGGCTACTTTCCAAACGTATATCTTTATCAATTTTTATCTGATCTTTGAGAGGCATACCTTTATTGATTTGTTGGTCGATTCTCTATCAATCTGCATCAAAATCTGGCAACAAAATTTTCGATCAAGTTTTTTCCAGTTTTTGCCAAGGAACCCCTTTCAAAATTATGGATCCCCACATATAGCCACTTCACATACGTATATCTTTGTCAATTTTTATCTGACCCTTGAGAGGGATACCTTAATCGATTTGTGGGTCGATTCCCTATCAATCTGCATCGAAATCCCCCATATCCCCATATATGGCCACTTGACATGTCTATATAATCAGTTTTACACAAGATCTTTCCTACTTACTTAGCCAAATAACAAACCAAAAGCACACACCATTCAAAGCGATCTTCGCATAGTCTGGTCGCACGCCCAATAGCTCTAAAACTGTAGGCCAAGCTTTCACCTATATTACCTGCATTAACGATGGCTGAATACGGCAACGGCTCTAGAGTCAAGTTCACAATAAAACCATCGAAACCTTGCCCTGGCTCATTCAGTTGGCTGCGGGCACTCGGCTTGGCTTTTTCGGCTTTTGGCTCACGTGATCGGGAAACGCGCTCGGCGACCAGCTGCCAAAAGGCTAATGCAATAATAACGGGTTTTATTTTTGGATACATTCGAAAATATTCGAAAATCGTGTGCGAAGATGCTCAGTAATTTGAGCTATAAGTTTTGTTAAACAATAGAATTGAGACTAAAAGTGCTAAACTCTTAACATTTTAACAACCTTGGCGGGGCAAAGAGTCTTAATTGGACAACAAAAACAAAAAATAACTCCAGCCGGTTCAAAGTGGTTATAGCCGCTTGTTACTTTACCTACATCAACCATAACAACAACATCGGCAATTCAAATCGCCAACAACAATACCAGAAAATCAGCATAAGCTCAATTGTCGCCTGGCAGACAAGACACTGGCGAAGGTGCAAGCCTCATTGTTGTGTTAAAAATAAGAAGACGCTTAAAAACTACAGGTAAAAACTAAAATACCAACACGTCGGTTCAAGGAAGAAAAGATCATGCAAATTAGGTAGTACGAGTTCGGGCTAAGTAACATACATACTTCGAAAATATCACGAAGTAGATTATAAGAATACAAGACACCTGCCAAATGTTTTCCTTGTGTTAACACAAACACCCCCTGGGACATGTATTGGGCCAATAGCTTTAGTAACGGTTTTGATATTCAAAACCCGATGAACTGACCTTTGGCTAGATATTATGACGTATACGCAACGTGGGTTCGTAACTCATAAAACTGCATACATAATATGAATAATTGTGATTCGTCGTCTATCGATCGTTACCGTCTGTTTGTTTTGGCAGCAACCGCAACAAGTTGTCCATAAAAACACGTTTTTGCATGCTAATGCCCCGACGGTAGTCGATTGAAGTGTTTTTGTTAAAAAATTGTGTATGTGGAGTGGCTTTTTATCATCAAACGTTTGAATTCGATTGAAGAACAGAGCGCTTAGCAGTCAAACAATAAACAATTTTTTAAATTTTAACCAGCAAACCATTCCCTCTGGCATTTTAAGAATTCCAGTTTAATCTGCTTGTAACTTACCTATCAGGATTTATAAGCATGACGTCATAAAACAATCTCTTAAGATTCAATAAATTAAGAATTCAAGCATAGCCCGGGGATAGATCTCGACTCGTCTGACTCATCTGATGGGGAATCATTTTTTCCGACGTCGACCGTCTGCTTTGAAATAATTTTATTTTTAACGAGAATTAAAAACCAGTTTCACAATAGTCGAAAAAAATAAAATTAATTTAAATGTTCCGTTGTTGCTTGGGCAGTCAAGTTTTTGTTTTTATTAATGAGATGAGATTGCAATAAATAAGCAAATTATTTTCCGTTGAAAAATGTATACATGTTTCACAAAGATACTAATATATATTTAATTTTATGACGTTTTTCCACGGAGATGAATAGTATGCGACATTGTCAATATCAAAGTGGTTTTTATCACACACTCATTAACATCCAAATGTCTCTTGATAATAAAGTTATCTAAACGTAAACATTTGAGACTCTGGAGTAAAAATGTTGTAATTAACGACTGCACTTAACCAGTGCCAATTAGGTTGCATTTCTAATATTATCTAACAAACTGCAGTAATTGCTTCAATAAACAAGAAAACACTTCAAAGGAAAATGTATGACTTGTGCATTCCTTTGCGAATTAAGTAGTCAAATTTATGGACTCCTTTAATGAATCGAACAAAGCCGATTTATACCTTTAACGAGAAGCTAAATTAAATTGACAAGCCATATTTTGATCGCAAAACGTGCCCACCTCTGAGTCAATTAATAATTCTAAATAAATGCAAGCCAGACGTGTCAATATTTCACGCTACTGTCAACCGGTTCGTCAAGTCAATTGTAAATATATTAACATTTACACACGCAAATATTTGCTCACCCGAGGTTAATCTTAATATTTATACCACACTCTCGGTTTTCACACTCAAACTAATTCACATCTCGATGCAGTAAATCAAACAAGGTGTAAATTAATAAGGCAACCTATCTAGTCGAGTAATTTTTTGTCTGACATTATGAAGACAATTTATTAAAGATTCGCACTTAAAAGCCATTTGATAAGATAGCTTTGTGTCCGAGCTACACATTATATCTTGTTTGTGCTAATGATTTGCAACAAATTAAGAAATGCATTGTCTAGATTCGTCGCTCATAATTTTCAAGCATTCTTCTTTGCTTAGAAACATCTCACAAAACATTTGCTCCTTATCAGCCATAATTTTGGTATCTAAAGGGCCACGCAGCCACCCTCTCTTGTCTAAAAAGCCTGACAATCTAGGTTTATCTTTCCCGTGACGGTGACATCATTCGTTATCTTCAAGATCAGCTAGGTTTTTACTGATTGTCAGTTATACAGCCTCCACAAAGACTCGCGTCCAACCATTTCCATTCCACAATCCGATGCTAATAGAACACTCGTCTGGAATCATTTTCAGGCAAAATGGAGTCATCCCGCAGGAATTACCAAAATTCTGCCTTTGTGAGCGACGATGGTCGCAGCACAGCCAGCACCGTGGACATTTCGGTAGGTGACTTTCGGAATATACATACTTAGTCCCTGGACCCACTAATCATCGTTCCACAGGCCACCAGTTCAGTTCCCCGTGATAATGCCACCGACGCAGAGGCCGCAAAGTCGCCAGAGGAGCGTGCCACCTGGGGCAAGGGAATCGAGTTCCTGATGTCCTGCATCGCCATGTCTGTGGGCCTCGGAAACGTTTGGCGTTTCCCTTTCACCGCCCTGGACAATGGTGGCGGCGCATTCCTCATCCCATATCTCATTGTCCTGTTCCTGATTGGCAAACCGATTTACTATCTGGAAATGGTAATTGGCCAGTTTTCAAGCCGCGGCTCGGTAAAAGTTTTCGATTTGTGTCCGGCCATGAAAGGTAAGCGTTTGCGAGTAAGATTCAGTCGCATCGAAGTTGCCATGACCTTAAAAATTTAAATAGAATTATGGTTTTACATTAATTAAAAGGTTATTTAAAACAAATAACTATATTTCCTTATGTTAAGACTTCAACAAAATATCTAAAGCTAAAACAGAGTCTAATACTAAAGTAAGGTCAGATTCATTCTACGAAAGTTTTGCAATTATTTCTATATGGTTATAACATTAAAAAAAAACCTATTGAAAAACCAAACCTCCCCAAGCATGGCAACTTTGATAGGCAGAAAGTACATCCTCATTCAGTTCATCAACAAACCTGACTGTCCCATACGCGCGACCGCATCCTGTAGGTGTTGGAATTGGGCAGGTGATATCGATATCTATGGTTACCACTTACTACGTGGCCATAATGGGCATAACCCTGCGCTACCTGTTCGATTCGTTTCGCTCTCCGCTGCCCTGGTCCGAGTGCCGGACGGACTGGCAGTCGTTCTGTGTGGCGTCCAGCCAGGGCAACACCTCCAAATTGGTCAGCCCCATGGAAATGGATGGTCTGCCCCAGCAGCAGCCTGTGGCATCCGCCGAGCTGTATTTTCTGTAAGTGGTTTGCTTTGTTCGGCCAGTTCGGTTGGTGGATTGGTTGCAGCCGCATGTTTTTCGGTGTTGTGCGTCGGTGTGTGTTTGCATCTCTGTGGTTAATCTTATCGCCGCTGTGAACGCGAAATCGCGACTGTAGACTCAAGTTTATGGCACGCCCCACAAAGGCGGTGATGTCCGCTTTATTGCTGGCCTAATTGAATGAGTACCCGCATCCCGAGCCGGCAATCATAGCGCCTATTGCCATCAATTGTGATGTGGCAGTGCAATAGACCGCAGCGATTGCACCATCCAAATCGGAAAATTATTCCATCTGACTGACATCCAATTGGGATCCATCACCATCGCCAGCGTCAATATTTGTATTGAGGCGTTGGGGGACCATTCATTCACAACATTGTATGGCCTTGGCCATAAACTTGACTGATCTCTAAATTTGCTTTCAAATAACAAAGTAATCAAGTTACTAACTATGTCTATGTTGTTTCTATTACTCTTCTCGTCTAATCATTTTCATTCCAATGCTCACAACTCTCTTCTAACCCATCTGATAAATGTTTTAACTCTTTTTTTTCCTCGTAACTCGTTTTTTTTCGAAAATCGAATGAAAAAAAAAGGTGTCGGAGCCGGCCAGGCGTTCCAGGTGTTTATGCTCAGCACTTACTATGCCGCCCTGGTAGCGATAATTGGCAGATATTTTATTGAATCATTCCGCAACCCACTGCCCTGGGCCACATGCCTTGCGGAGTGGGGTCCCAACTGCATCAACTCAGCCCCCGATGCAAGTAATTGGCTTCGTGTGGATGACGGTGATCAGCGATCGCAAAATTACACAATCAAATCAGAAACTGAGCGGGTGATCACCAGTTCGGAATGGTATTTTGTGTAAGTGCTAAGTTGTCTGGCAATATGCGGATATGATGCTTACTGGGAAATTCATAAAAGGACTTTCGGCTAAAATTATTTTTCAAAATTATTTTGTCTTCATATTGTCCATAGGATTTAATGAGAACCCTTTAATAAGCTTAAACATTTTTTTTTGCTTCTGTTTTTTTGAAAAAGTATCATACGCGCATGCAATAATGGTGATGGTTAGCTGGTGGTGGCTTCTTCTGATAATCTCTATCCTAATTAGACATTTTTCCCCATATATAGTAAGGAAGTTCTGCACGAGTTGCCCAATATCGACGATGGAATCGGCCTGCCCAACTGGGAACTGGTCCTTGGACTTTTCGTGGCCTGGGCCAGTGTTTTCCTCATCATTCGTCGTGGCGTCAAAAGCTCCGGCAAAGCCTCTTACTTCCTGGCCATCTTCCCCTACATCATCATGGGTGTCCTTCTGGTGCGGGCTGTAACCCTGCCAGGGTCCATTGATGGCATTTACTACTTCATCAGGCCCCAGTGGGGCAAGATTCTGGATCCGAAAGTGTGGTACGCAGCAGTGACCCAGTGCTTCTACTCCCTGTCCGTGTGCTTCGGCAACATCATCATGTATGCCTCCTTCAACAAGTTCGGCCACAATGTGCACCGGGATGCAGTTATTGTGACCAGTCTGGACACGGTTACCTCCCTGCTAGCTGGTTTCACGATATTCGGTATCCTGGGCCATTTGGCTCATGAGATCGGCACCGATGACATTGGAACGGTGGTAAAGGGTGGCGCCGGCTTGGCATTTATTTCGTACCCGGACGCCATTTCCAAGTTCAAGAGCCTCCCACAGATATTTTCGGTGCTGTTCTTCCTTATGTTGTTTGTCCTGGGAATCGGCTCGAACATTGCCATGACATCCTGTTCAGTGACTGCCATTCGGGATCGGTTCCCCAACTTTAAACAGTGGCAATGTTCGCTGCTTATTGCTGTTGTCAGCTTTGTGATTGGACTTATATATATAACTCCGGTAAGTGATTTTACTTTTATACTACGCTATAAATGGGTATTTTTTTAAAACATAAATTTAAAAAGCTTAAGGTTGAGAAGTTGCAACGTATACGCAATATTCCAAGCAATACTCCATATTACGCATACGCACTGTTGTACTCAATGACATTATTTTAAAAAATTATCCTCCAATTTCAGGGAGGACAATATATGCTGACTTTAGTGGACTTCTTTGGAGCTTCGATGATTGCTCTGGTGCTGGGAATTGCTGAGCTGTATACGATCGGTTGGATTTACGGTACCGATCGCCTTTGCAAGGACATTGAGTTCATGCTGGGACGCAAGGTGGGCCTCTACTGGAGACTCTGCTGGAGCATTATCACACCTCTCATTATGACCACTATTTTGATATATTTCTACGCAACCTACGAGCCCCTGACCTACAACAATGTGATCTACCCCACTTGGGCCTACGGTGAGAACTTTTAAAATCATATTCTGGAGACTTTAGATACAAATTATTTTTATAGGCATTGGCTGGATGATTACTGCCTTTGGAATTCTTCAGCTACCCATTTGGATGATAGTGGCCATTATCAGAGATCCGGGTACAACATTGGGTGCCAAGATTCGAGGTGCCTTTACGCCGAAAAAGAACTGGGGCCCCATGGATCCTCTGCTACGGGAGCAATACCACAAGGAAATCGAAAACGATTTGACCCCGAGACGAGGTCAAGGTGTTTGGGCTGCCATCAAGCAGAATATTTTTGGCTAATCGAAAATTCCATATTATCTATCACAGGCCCAATGTAAATAATCATGTGCTTAGTATTAGCGATTCCTGTATAAAAGATCTTTCTCTACTCTTAAGTCTGCCAATAAACCTAATAAGAACTTTAAACAGTTTCGTTGAGGCATTTTGAAGGGGCTTAAAGGCCTTAACATGCACTAGACAATGAGTATTTTTCAAGTTCTTACGTCCCACCAAATAAACTCGTCTCACTCCGACTCCCTGTGACCCCGCCAATTGACCGCAACATTTGACAATTTTCGGCATTTGCCAAATCCGCCGCAAAAATGGTGGCCTAGAAAGAGATGGAGAAAATCAAGAGAAATGTTATGTACTTTGTCTCCGTTACTGTTCCAAATCAAACAATGGGGACTGGCCGGCAAACGAGGGTACTTTCCACAATAGAAGTCGCCGGTCACTGTTGGTGTCAATGGTGCACAGTGGTTTTAAGGTGATTGTTACCTTTTATTTTACATAGGTTCTCAAACTGTATGTCCCCATAGAGACTCAAAATCTTTTTTTTACATAACAATATTTTATCTTTTAAAATGAAATATTTGTTTTAAATTTATTTTAAATCCAATAGTATTAATTTTAAGCTCAATTGCCACTGTCCAAGGTGGTTGTGGGAAAAGTGGATGGACGGAGGGCAAGCATCTTAGAGATAATTGCTTTGATAAGGCTTCGCGGCTTCGGTCGAATTCAGGGGTCTCGGGGCAGCCCGAAAACATTTTTTATAAATGTCGCCAAATATTTACATGTGGCAGCATTGTGAAGCTCCCCAGCGTTTTTTCCCCGGCTTTTCTCACCCTGCTACCCCGCTACTCCGCCCTTGCCGGCCGGCATGGTCTATTTCCACAAGTTAGTCTCCGGCCCGGCCCGGTCCGGCCCGCATTTCGCCTGCGGCTTGACTTTGCCAACTGTCCGGCCGTAGTGCCTTCCTGGCCGGCAATTCCGGATGATGGCCCCAGCCCCCGCCGCCGCGTTGCTGGAAACCGCATAAAAGTCATTGTCACAGCAAATGGATTAATTTTCGCGGCAGGCTGACATATACACTTCTCTTTCGCACGCAGTCTGCCCTACTCTATAGCACCCACACCGTACGTCTGTCTTTTCGAGTCGGTTGTTACCTCAATTTTTTAGGGTATAATGTGGTTTTAAAATTTTTCCTAATTTAGACATTGCTTAAACTCAATATTAAATTAAAACAGATATTTTTAAAGTTCGAAATATTGTCATAAGAATGTATTTATTTCCTTCCCCATCGTAGATACTTTACATTTGAGTTTAAAAAGCGAATATCACTGCGTATTTAAAAGTCGGTACACCAAAAGGACTTACTCATACTTTACATTTTTTTTCCATGTTTTTTATAAAGAAATTAAAAAGCCGGGTCTGCGGTCGAGGGGCATGGTGGGATGCGCCGCATTTACCGCAACAATAATTACGTTTTGGGTTGGTTTTTCAGATCCTGATGCTGGCACGGAAGTGTATAATGTTGCTAAGTAGTTGCGGTTATTTGTTGTTTTTGTTGGGTGACATTTTTGTTACCAGGTTCCCTTTGTGTTGTTGTTTCGTGTTCCGTAATTATCCTGAATGGCAACAGGAGGTTTATTTCATACTCTAAATGCCACATAATTAAGTTTCGTAGCTCTTATACAAAAATACAAGTTGTATAATATTTATTGTTTGTTTACAAAATTCCCTTAAGATTTTCCAAGCATTTTTATTGATGTTGCTATCCCTGAGACATGTCCAAAATTTATTTAAATCTTGTCTTCATCAGTTTTCCTGGATCGGTCGTAGTAAAAGGTTTAAATATGTTTGGTTTAGTTACTTGGGACACTTTCGTAGTAGTTTTAGTTGTGGTTTTAAAACTCTTTGTGGCCTGCGAGTCCAACTGAGTTTGAATATTATTTACTATACGGGATACGGGATTTTCTGTTCTTGTTGATGGATTTTTTCGAGGTAGAGTACAAAAACGTTCGCATTCTATTCGATATTGGAAACCATTAAAACAAGCAAGTACGGGATAGCAGGAAACTTTGTCTTTGCTTAAAAACCATTTTTGTTTGGGATGCTTACATTTTCTTGAAGTGTCTGATCTCCTACAAAGAGCTGAATAAAAAAATTGTTAAAATTAAGGTACAAAATTTAAGTTTTTCTCACTGTCCTGAACTTACGATTTACAAAATCCTGTCTTTCGCCAGTCGTTAACATCAAAGTAGACAGAATCACAAATATTAGCAACATCTGATCGATGTGAGTGCATCATGTAGAATAGTCGAAATTAGAAAACTTTCTAGTTCCTCACGGCAGCTAACGCAATTAGTCAAGGCAATTTAAAGCCAGGCAAAGCTGTTTTCAAATATCTTTTTTTATGCAGCACCGACTGGTTTCGGGCTGAGTCGGAAGGCTGACATGTGGCCAATCAGCCCAAGTGCCAAAAACGCAAGCAAACTGCTGGCTAAAGTACACACACCGAGCAAAGCATGTGGCAGGCGCCTCACAGATTCCGAATCGAGTTCTATTTAACTAAAAGCTAAAAAGCGCCGACAGAAGCCAGTCAGCGAGCTCCCACAAATGCAGCAGCTATACACCTTCTTTGCCCAAGACTATTTGTTGGCTCTGCTCGGAAACGAGTTTGTCTTGCCCGCACCCGAAGGATAAAAGAAACAGGATCAGAAACTAATCGTTGCTTAGATATGGTAATGTAAACATATTGGAATATAATAGATATTTGTTAAAAGAGGAATTTTGACTGTGGAACTAAAGAACCAAATTCTCGTGTTTGTAGTCACTAGCCCTTTATTGTCCACTTTGGAGCTTGAACCTATAGACTTTAAAAGGATATATGTACATGATCTCCCAATATAGCTTTGTGTGTAATTGTATTTTATACCAAATTCCAAATCCTTGAAATCACGCTTTCATCTCTATCTCTGCCGTCCTGCCCATCTCATTCACACTCGAGCTTGCAGATAACCCAGGACACGCCAAAAAAGATTTCCAGCTAAAAGCAAGCCAGCATTGAAATAGACCATAGAAAGAAAACCAGGCCAAAAAACTTACAGAGACTGAAAAAATTCTGGTGTTCTTGGGAGTTTTTGGCAAGTAAAGTTGGGCGCTCATGCGAAGAGCCGCAAATGTGTGCAATGGGCACAAGTTGCGAAATGGTCCGGGTATGGTTTCCTTTTTCCTTTCTGCCGCCATCTCTGCACTCCGTATGTATGTCCTTTCTTCCCCCTCTGCTCGCCCCTTTCTAGGCAGCCATTTCTTTCGGCAGCGGGTGAAAATTTCTATGTATTTTCGCGAGCGTGTAAAAAAAGGTTGAAAATGTTTGGTGTTTAGAGCAACTGACAGGTGGCGTAACTGTGTATGGGCAGCGTATTCTATGGGTGCCTGGATGGTTGGGGCGCTGTGTTTGTTTTGTGGCAGGAACATGGCGAACAAACATATGGAAGGAGAGTGTGCGAAAATCGGATGAGGGACCCGAAATAAAGTAATTGAATTTTTACAGTACTCAGAGCATGCAGTCCCCAGCTTTTTTCGATTTGGTAGCTTTTAATGCGCCGATTGTCTTGGCAGAACCAACAGAAGTTTCGAAATAAAAATAGATAAATTCACGAATAATAATAAAAATAATAAAACTCAGCAAAATCAAGTTAAAATATTTTTGAATAAGAGCTCTTTGACAGGCGGTTCTTATCCGGATTTATCTTGCTAACCGGCGAAAATATTGGGTTGCCTTAACTTGTTAACTTCGGTCAACTGATTTACGTCATATAAACCCTGCCATCCACTTTTTTAATTAAGAAATAAACGCTTTTCTGTAAATTCATGGCTTTGATCGTCTGATAAATGCGATTGTGCGTGGCTATTGACATTTTCGGTGTTATTTTTTCGATGACCCCACAGCCAGCATCAAAGGCAATCAACCGGTTAAGCCATGGGGCGTGGCAGAGATCCTGTGGGCCAGGGCAGGCTGTTGAGGTGGCTGAGCAGACTGCCAAGCAGCCGCAGCGTTTGTGGTCCGCCACAAACGGATATGCAGCCCCTGTACGAAATTCCAAATAGCCAGCCCGCCGCACACAAATATGTATGAATGTATGGACAGCCTGACAGAGAGGGGCTGTGCGTTAAATTCGGGTAAATGTTTATAAATAGGTTGTGGTGACCACCGAAATTTAGTATTGAAAACAGCGCAGGGGGCGCATTAACCACTTCTGGCACTGGGGAGCCTCCTGCGGTTCGCTGTTCATTTATTCCAAATTGTTAGATTTTAATTACACACAGTCCATATACGTTTTATTTTTTCTACAATTTCATAGGTGGATGCGGTGCTATTATCATGCATTTATTCTGACTAAAGCTAACATTGACAAAAAATTTTTCAATGGTTTAAAGCTGAATAAAAATGGAACTTTGCAAGGTCAAATACTTTAAACAATATTGAAACTTTCCAGTGCGTGTGTTGGGGATTTTTTAAAAGTTATATTGACTGTTGTTCTTGGTCCACGACTACTGAACTACTGGCCCCTTTCATTTTGTATGCCAGTAAGCTTTCTTCTCAAAAAAGTTCTAATCGAAAGTTTGCTAAAAAAAATCCTTTACAAAAAGCAAACCAAACCAGTGGCGACCACAACGAAACAAATAACAAAAACAGCCAAAATGGCAACTGGTTATAACTGTGCCATCTGTTTGAACAAATAAGCAAAACACGGAAACGTGGGAGACTTCACCCGCCCAGACCCACTCAACCGATGGTTTAGTCCTGAAACTCCGCCCTTTTATTGTACAGAACATCTACAGCCAGCGACTTTTATATAGATTTTACTCTAAATATGGAAATTAGATGACAAAAAATTTTTAATAATTCAGCTGAATGAAGCTCCTAGATTCCATAGCATATCCCCTTCATTTCGTTTCCAGTTTCTTATATTGGCAGAGTCAGAAATCTCATTTAGATTGTAATAACAAAGTGTCACGCGAAAATCAATTAAAATAATTTCCTGCTAAAATTCTCCATGGCATAACAGATATTCCCCAGTTTAGAACCAACCTCATGCCCCATAAGGTTGCCACCGCATTCGGCATCTGTTGCCACCGTT